AAAACCTTATAAATAATTCATTTGTCGAATGAATCGTTTCTTCCTCAATATCCGAGACGAGAGAAACGGCGCATTTTAAAATTAAGCACGCGATTTTTTTACAATTAATCGTCCTACGATTAATCATTTCTAACGATCGGATAATTCTATCGGTCACAGTTATGAATGATCTTCCCTAATTAGAAAGTATGAAGTATATTTATCGAAAGCAGTGCAAGATGAGAGAGACCCTACGTAAAAGAAACGGTCGAGTAACAAGAAACCCGGCGAACCAGCTAATTTGCAGTTTATTCTTACCAGTCTGTCAATGCATTCATCCTGTCACGTGATTGCAGATGCATTTAGAAACGGATGTTATATGTATGGTCTTGATTACCGATAAAACGTGATACGGCAGATCGTATATCGCGATGATGGTTGAACAGAATACAGGATAAACAAGAAATGCCAGCGGAAGAAGAGCATTCTAGAATGTAAAACTGACAGTTTCCAAAGAAACACCTTTCGACCGTGTTTGTGTAGGTTTTGTGTAGGTTTTGTGTAGGTTCAATTATAATTTTGCACACACCCGATTCTCGGGACAGGATGTCCGCTTATCGGAACCGAATCAAATACATTATCTTAAATAACGAACTCGCAGTGTACGCCGATTTAGCATCCCTTTTTTGCATCGTTTTTCGATAATGCAACGATTCAGATAAAGCGGAACGGTTGGAAATTGCGTAGTTCCGATAGAAGAGTTGCCATCGTATCACCCTGCAACCGATTTATCTTCTTTCCTGCCTCCGTTTCCCTCTTGCGTTATCACGAAACGAACGTGTGACGTCCGTTCGAAAAGTGAAGAAGCTGACACACAATGGATAGTAAAGACTCGCCTTCATTTGAATTTCATTGGAACAATCGTTTTTTATCGTGATATTTCATTCGTCGTACCTTTAAACCTCTAATTTTCATTTAACGACGAACAAGTTATCGACGATAACTCACCTCTAGTTCGGTTTCAATGAATTTGAAAGGGTGCGATTACTCGATTAATTTTCATAATAATTCCGAATGACATTGGATCGACCAGACACGCTCGCGAGAAAGGCGCAACAGCTTTTACTTGTTTAAATATTGCTTTCAATGTCAAATAGTATCGAACAATGTATACTCTGTATACACACGTGGACTTCATTAAGAATGGTCATTTAGATAGCGGTAACGTTATGTTTCCTTATTCTAAATATGCTCGCTTACGAGACGACCGGATACTAATATTTTTATATCGTAAATTATGCAAGATACATCTTCCCTTACAGCGACAACTACTTCTTCCTATCGTTCGAACAGTGTCATTTGCACAACTGTCACCTGCAAACCGTGATTAACAATTTCAATGTTGCGAATGCCATTAAAACGCTCGAAACACTCTTCCTCGTTCCATTTGCATCTCTTGTTTTTCAAACGCAATTGCATAATACGTGACGCAAATACGTGAGTTTAACTATGCGAACGATAAGGCATAGAAATTTTCGAAAAATATTTGTATAACGCGCGACCGACTGTTTTATCCTCATGAGACAGTTATAAAATTAACACTTCCCGTTGACGAGACCTTCGAACGAGCATTGGCAATGCCAGCGGAGATTTCATCAAAAATTCTTCCCGTTTCTATCGGGTCGATGGAAAAGTTTTCAGGTTTTCCTTTCAAATCACTTGCGCAAAAAACAGCTGTCGGGTGTGTGTGTGTGTACACGCCTTTCATTATCACATTCGAAGGCGATACTTTCGTCGAATATTTGCTTTCCACTCGCAAATTGCAGGCGATACTGTCGATTCATTCACGATGAAAGTTTCGTCTCGCAGGATCCTGCGAGTCTATTCGACGCACGATAGACGAACCGTCGCGAACGCGGGAATAATTCGGAAATAACGGTTACCGATCGATTCCTATACAGACACGCGAATGAATCGAATTTCTCTTGTTTCCCCGATTAACGGAAATAAGCGGAAGAAGGAAGACGCCGCGGTTTCCGGCGAAAGAAACATTCAGATTCGTACAGTCTATTGATACGCGGCCGAGAAAAGAGTTGTTTGTAATTCAATTCGATCGATGAAACGAGCTTAACGAGAATAAATCGGATACAGGCAGACGCGCAACTGGTTAGGCGTGCGTTTCACGTGGAACCCGGCTCGTGCACGCGGCGAATGCAATTTTAAACAGCTCCAATTGGGCTCGATCTGCATTATATAAAGCCGTGGCCGCGCTATTTGCTCAAAGATTCGGTAGATTGAGAAGCCTCGAGGATCTACGAGGCCTTGGGCCGCATTAAACCACCGCAACTTAATACCGGGACGATGGTACGCCGGCGCATCTACACTAGATTCGGTTTCCACACCGTCTAACGGCAACAGCTGAACAACTATGGATTCTAAGCTTGATTAGTCTCAATTGGATTTCATCTTAATCGAATCAACGATTCGATTATTTACTCGATTAATTTCATTTCCCCGCGATTTTCTGCTTTTTCTCGACTAGACGTTAACAACATCAATTTACAAAAACGTCAGCAGCGTATCGATTAGAATTAATGACTGTTTGTCCGCGTTTGTTATTCTTATTCGTACTACAGTTTTTGCGCCGTAAATCATATCTCAAAGTCTTTTCGAAATCAGCGTTTCCGAGGTCGAGCATTACATTCGTCGAAAGAATTTTTCCAAAGTAAGATCCTATATCTTGCTGCTCGTCGGGTGGAAGAGGAAACGTTCGAATCTAACGCGACGCGATCGATGACGTCCGCCGTTAGCGAAATATTCGTCGCTCTAATCACGATATTTGAACCCGTTTCAGAATTATCTCTCACAAACACGTTCCGGGTGTCGTTAACCGACGCCCGAGCCGCGTATTTTGAAACGTTACGATCAGCCGCGCTGAATTATCGAGTTTGCCCCACGAATTAGTACGCGCACCAACGCAACTGTGGAATATCACCGGCCAAAAACCGACTTTTCCACTTCTCAAATGTCCGAGACTATTTCTGCCCTTATACGAGGCGTCCAACAGGTTCATGGAACACGAAAATCCCACTGACACCGTCTGGTATCGGTAGGCTAGTCACGGAGCAACTATTGTCAAATCTAGACATGGTGGTAACCACTTTTTTTTTTCCGTAACATTCGTTCGCCTGAAAAATGATGAGTCGAGGTGGCTCGGATATATCGTTGGAAAGGAAACAAAGCGATTCAACCGACAAAAAGAACTGTTTCCCCATTGTTGTTTAGGATCTTGGGGAACAGCAACTCCGAGATTCGTTCAATGCCAGTGCTATATGAGGCAGAGCCAGGAATCGTTTCAGAGCTGTTCTAATAAACGCATTCAGCGTTGATTTAAATCGAGCATGCCCGGTGGGTAAATAAACTGGTCATCGTATGCCGTAATGAGTAATTCATTCGTACAAGGAAGAGTCGTGTGAAAAATAAGGTAAAATAGTTCTCGACGGACGTCAATGGAAATAGTTAACACTGGCAATCAATAATGCTAATGAGTTTCTTTTCATTCACCGCCTTCAATCTGTACAATTGCGAAATATTCGACATCGCACATCCTTTCGCTATGATCGTTTGAAATATCAGATTATAACCCTGTACTGTACATGCCATTAAGAGTCCCTCGATAAATAAATTAGCGAAATAATCGAAACGGTTCGTTCGAAAAACTGACGTATAAACATTCTCGTATTACATAACGCTCAGCGTAGTTGATTCGATGTCGAAAAGATTTCAAAATAGAAATGAGTTTGTTGCAAAATCTTATTGATGCTTTCGGTTATTGCGCGCGCGTTCGGTGTTTGTTTGCTCGCGTTTGATAAAGACACGACAAGAGCAGAGCATTTGTACAATCGACGAATTTCCCGGAACGCGTGCCATCCGTTGAATTTCTGTGACTGCTGCGTAGCGTAAAGCTTCGAAAGTTGAAACTGTTAATCGACGCGACAGCCCCGTCCGCAGGATGCTCGAAAAGATGTCGCGCGGCGTCTCGTGTCGTCGTTAAACCACACGGAATACGTAATAATGAATAAATGAAGAAATTACATCGATCCTTATATAACTTCTTCCCGTGATTAGAACATTGTTACCAAAGTGGAGCAATTTCTTAATAAATTTAAGAAACTCTAACGCGGTGACTCGCGTCTCTCCTATTCTTCTGTTCGAAATTCTTATCCTTTTACTTTGTTTCAACTGTTGTTTGACAAATGTTCGACGAAATAAAGGAAAACTACTAGAAACCACGGCCGGGCCTGCGTCGAAAGCAACGATTTATTCGCCGATATTTTTCGTTAACGCGACGCTTGGGAAAACAAGAGGCGAGACAACAATCGTCGCGAGGACTCGGCTGCGCAAAGATGGCGGCCGCAACCTTGGTCCTGCGGCGACAACGGTGCAGAAGCGGAAAGACCCCGATAAATTCGAACGAAATTACAACGAGAAACGAAACACGTTCTCGCCCCCGTCCTCGCCCCCGTCCTCGCATCCATTCAGTTTGTAAACGAAATTTCGTGCGTCATCGTTGCACGCGTGTATTATTGCTGTCATATTCTCTTCGCACTCGTGGCCGAAATAACAAGAAAGAGCCGCTAATAGGATCGTAGAACAAGCAAACCGGCGAACGTGCGTGCGCGATGATCAAATTTCGATCGCGGACCTTGGGCATCCTCGATCTCTCACCCGTGGCAACGTCTCGCTACGATTCCGAAATTAGCTTCCCTTTTTCTTATCATCTACTTTTCGTAATCGTCCGACGGTTTCCAACGGGAAACACATCCGCGCGATGTAGTTTAAATAATAGCCAACTAAGAAATTGTCAATTTTCATTGTTTTCTCCGAAATTGTTCAACTCAACTTCGCTAGGAGTATCTTTCTTCTGTTTTCGCCGCCTACTGTTCGGCTAAAGTGCAGCGGAGTAATTTATGATTGGCACACATGTCGTTAATATCTAATAACAGTTATTGTCCACTGACCTTTTTATCATTTGCTTTCTTCAATGATTCACACTGTTTTCTCCTCGATGCGTTTGCAGTTTCTATCGACGTATTAGGTTCACGTATGGATCCATGATATATTGGATTGGTATCCTTGAACGGAGCTATGTGGTAAACATTTAAGGTTGATTAGTGGAATAGCACATATGGAAACGTACGATTTCAGTGTTATTGAAAATGAATATTTTCCGAAGTTAAACGTTTCTTCGAAGTTTTAAGGAAATACTTCTGACCTCTCCAATCACTCTAGCTTTTCGATCGATTTTTCTGGCGGACAACACTACTACTGAATTCTCACGTATACAGTTCCAGCGTTTCAAGAGTGAACATAGAACACGTACAAACGAAAGCATGGCAAACTTTTAACATGTCACGTGCAACCTATGGTTTCAGGTTTCCTATGCGACTTGGAAAAAAATTATATTGAAAGTTGCAGTCACGCCTAATTCTTTCCATGATACTGCCACTTTCTCGTGCTCCACTCGACGAAGCACGTATTCCCCAAAAACGAAATTCAAACGACATTTCAAACTCCGCAAGCTCCAGGGGTCGGACGTTAAAGAGCGTAAATCACATTTTCGGTAAAACTTTCGATTAACACCGCAATTACGCGACTACCTTGGTACCGATTTGCCGAAAGGTCAATTCCGCGGTGCCCTAATTGCTCTCGATCGGAAGGAAGAAATCGGGAATAGGCGATTTCAGGCTGTCCGCTAACTTTCGCGTGAACTTTCAACGCGGAAAACTCGACTGGGAAAACTGTTCGGCTGCGCGAGCGAACGATGAAGCCTCTTATCATATAAAACGAAAATGCGACTGGCACCGATTGACATCTAACCCCTGAGTATATTGTATAAAATGTATGTTTTACCCAGCTGTGGATTCTTTCTCGATCTCCGGTGGTCGTAAGCGCTGGTCCCACGGGTCCCTGGACAGGGCCCATGGGGTATGCGGAACGGCGGGGCGCGGAGTGACGGATACGCGAACGCGGAGGTCACCATTGACGCAAATCCATCTGACGGTCACGTGACCGGCCGTGCTGGAACACAATACCCGCGCGCGGGTCCGCGGCGAGCCAACTTTCATTAAATCCGCCGGCGCTGAGGCGGCGGCGTACAGTGCGCGTACGTAAGTATGGAAGCGAGCGAGCAAGTATGCGAGCCTCGCCGACGATTCCCTCCGTGGAGGATCCACGCGGCGAAAACGCGGCAAAAACGCGGCCCACCCACGCTACCGAATAATGGGCAATTAACGAGCAACCGATCATACCGTTCCTCGAATGCCAATCAGCTCGGCCCGAGCGAGCCTGCACGCCGAGTCTCGCACTCTTTTCAAACGAAGTAATCTCGATCGGCGGCGGCTTAGAAAACAGTTTTATCGTAATTCAGTGCGAGCGTCATTACGATTTACATACATTCCGACGCAAGCATCGTTCAAATGCCGCAGTTTCGCTGCGAGAATACAGGATACGCGGCTGTTTCGACCGTTTTTGCCTTCGGCGTCTCGCCGCGAAAACTCTCCGTTAACGCTAGAGCAACCCGTCAAAATGGCGGGTTGAATGTTTGTTCCTTCGCAATTATTGGGGTATTGAAAGGGATCGAGATCCGAAATGATTTGAAATTGTAACGATAGATTCTTCTTCGTGTTTCGCTCGAGTGAAGCTATTTATTTAGAATAAAGGGGCATTTGACGGTGCTCAGGGGAACAACGAATTCTCGTGGCAAGAAGTACTTCCTCTGACATCACAGTCGCGTCGAGTGACAGCTCTATTTACTGTAAGCCTCCCGAAAGAAGCCGAGGAACTGTTCGCGAGACGGTAGCTTGTATCGTCGAATCAATAGTCGAACGATACACCTTTCGATCGCGATTTTCATCGGCAAACACGAAGAAACCAATCTAAATCTATCTCAATCGCACGAACCTTGTATTACTCGAGTTTCAATTTTTTCCACTGCTTTACGATAACATTTTACGTACCATTTACGTAACCAGATTCTAAATACTACTACGAAATTGATTACTTTCATCTAATTTAACCACTTGTTATATATATATATATATTTCTGTTACTCGAACTCGTTAAAAATGTTTCGAATAATTATGACACTCTGGCCCGCGTGGAACGCAATTACAATATTAGCAACTTGTTTCAGAGAGATAATAAGAATTTTTGTTAGGAAAGAGTCTTCACCTTACGCGTGTTTGTTAATTACGAAACTTTAGTTGTTGAGTAACAGCATGGGCAAAATAGGTGTAATGGTCGGATAGTCCAGGCATAAATTTCAGTTTTTTGCTCGTACGTGCGTCACTGGCCGCAAAAAAAGAAAAACGACGGGCAGATGGTGCCGTAGAGGAGGAGTTACCGAGCACACTCTTCTCCGAACTTTCGTTCCTCGTTCAAAGCGAAATATGTAAGTAGCTGTGGTCGCTTTTTGCAAAAACCGCTGACGAATCTGGTGTCCGGCCGAGTACAACAAAATTCGTATTAAATATTACTCCTAGTTTCAGCGTAAAAAATATTACAAATTTTATTGACTTATAGTTGACAATGATACCATTGACACTGTTAAAAAAATAGAATTCGCTGTTATGTACAATTGTAATGATCGTTATACTATATTCGTTCATTCCTTCGTATCAATCGGGCTAAGGATTCTTAAGACGTATTGTAATATCTTGATCGACTCGTGTTCCTGTCTTTTATCGTCTATACTTAAGAGCGTCAGTCTGCCTAAAGCCTCTTGAATGCTTTGCGAAAATCCAGAACTTCGCGCGATCAATTTCCCTTTCTGATTGTTGGCTATCAAGGACCATAGCATAGAGCCAGCTATTTTCATTTCAGTTACGGAACCGTTTTTAAATATGTCGTGTAAGATATTAATGAAGTCAACTGTAACACATATCAATAAACAAGTTGACATGGTACTTGTAACGATGACCTTGACAGTTTTATTATTTCATACCTGAACTAAGCAATCGTGGCCTGTTCGTCATATTGAACGCTAAATTCCGTAGTATGGAAATCGCTAGAATTCTGTTAGACGACGAAGAACATTTCGATAATTGCAACAAGACGTCCAGACCGTCGACAGCCTAAAATATTAATCGTAGATCCAAGTAGCGGAGACTTCGAGTGCTCGTGAAAAAATGTTCAATTTACCTTTGGCACACATAACTGGCCTTCCTCGTAAAACGTGAAGTCGATTAGGAATTCTAAACAGTAGAGTTCGACGAGCGGCCACGGTTTCACACGTTTCGTGCTGACTGGATGTATTTTTGTAAAGAAATGAAGCAAATTGCTCTACGAACATTCAACGTTGTTTCATTAATAAATACCGTTAGCTCTGAAATTGAATTTCACGCCAGGCGAAAGCGTAAAGTCACCTTTGATATGGACACTCTAGATTCATGGACATGCACCGCATTCCTAAGGACATGAAATGCGAAATGTAACTTGTGATTATCGAACAATTGGCCAGCCTTGTCTATTTCCTTAGAAACCAATTGAATAATGACGTGAATTAAAGCTAGAGTGTTAGGAGTTCTTCTAAGTCCTGCTCCTGGCAAGATAGTCGTTAACGTTAACGACTGCGCCGCTGTAACGTGCACGGTATTAAAACAAGTCAATTCGAACGATTATGCGAACATTTCCGCGATACCTGTAGGACATTTCGTCGTGTACGTTGCTAGCAATTTCAAAGCAGTCGTGGTAACGGTATTGTTCAATGCAACCCACACCCACAGCTTATGTAGCACATCTGCCAATCCACATTTTGTCAGAACTTCCTTCACTTGGGTGTTGCCGTACATGAAGTTCATTAGTAATTGAAAAATACCATTCACGTCGTGCAACAGGGGGGCGACCTGAATAAAAAATATGAGGAAAATCTTCAACATATAAATGCCGTTGGAAAACCCGTGTAGTACGCACGAATAATCCTCATTGGGTGTTTCTATAATCGCAACGTTGGAAAACCCCCCCCCAATCGACCTAATAAACTAGCAGAATCGAAATGATTAATCCTAAAATGATCTCTGTTACCTTTCTCTCGCGTTCCATTTGATTTTTGAAAAGTTCAAACGGCTGCAAACTTAACCTGACGTAAAGTTCCTTCAATATCATCAATATAGTTTCGGGTAGATTCTCTTCTAACGCGAACTTTTTAGCCGCATTCGACACGCATAATAAATTCGTGAGCGCACTCGTTATCAAGTCCTTATCCTCGTTTAATTTGCGATTCTTCTTCGACCTGTTGTAATTATAAACAATAAACAAATGCAAGAGGACACCGCATAGTTCCTCTCCGATTGGAATCTCTTCTTGTTCGTAGTCGCGATCATCCGTGGCTTTGTCGTAGATTAGAAGAATGTCTTCGTCTTCGACTGGTTTCTTCGAATGCGCGCTCGCGCTTCGCAAAGACAGCTTATTTATGTCCGATATAATTTCTCTTAAATTATTCCTGCTGTCGCTCGACGTTTGTATCAAAGTGGTATCTATTACCGTTTGCAACGAGACGTTGCTCTTCCCTAGAAAGTCTTTCTGAATGTCCAAGGAAATAAGAAACGCGAGGCAACCGACGGCGCTCATGCGGAGCTCCACGTTAGAGTCCTTTATTGCGGCGCAAATAGACACGAACACTGCGTTTGGATCAGATAATTCTAACGCTGTTTCTATCGCTTCGAAGTGCTGATTGTCCGTTAACGACAAGACGGCTATGAAATTAAAAATTTCCGTCCAGAATCTGGTTTTCAAGGACGATAATTGCGACGTGTCGGCATCTGCGTGGAAACATTGTAATAAAAATTATTACTTTCGTAGATTCGAGGGAGGCTCTTCGCTTTTGAACTTACGGTACAAGTCACTCTGCAGAAAACAAAAGAAAGTACGAAGCGAGTCCGGAGAGAAATTAATGATAGTTATATATTCGTTACTGTACGTGACGGAATTAATTAAAACTGTGCAAATGCTAATGTACATTTCCAAAATGTCACAGTGATGGGAGAGATTCTTTTTGCCATCGATATCTTTGGGAATTTCGTTGATACATCTAAAAAGAATAATTTTATTGAGCAAATAGCTTATAGTAAAGCGGAAGTAATTTCTTGGTTCCTTTACCCACCCAAGTAAATATTTATCTATAGAATGTTCATAAATCTGATGAATTATTTCCTGTTTTCCTACGTGTATTAAATTATTTAACAATCTGCAAACGGCTGTTATCAACGACGGCGTTACCACTAACTGTAAGCAGTTATCCGTCATCCCTGATTCCCTTCCTGAAACTAATACTCGATAGAGGTGTCTAATTTTGAAAAATCTTCAAGGCAATCTTCTCGCAGCTCTCATAGAGAGAATCGAAACGTTGATATTAATACATACAAGGATGCAACTCGTCTTGACAGTTGTACAAATATGAAATTGTACGTGGCACTAATGACGTGCAACCAGATTGCATACTATGAATAGACGGTGTGGTTCCACTCTCTAGATCTCGGTGATCCAATAAGTCGCAATCCAGAGTAGTATACATATAGATATTCGAGCATAAAATAGTAATTTCATCGTAAATGTTACTTTGTTCGACGTAGATCAGAATCGCATTCGCCTTCAGGGAATCCACCTATTCGAATAGACGTTCTGTCATATCTAGTTCCGGATTTATGAATAGATTTTACATAAAAGGAGGTGATCTAATATTTACTTACATACTGAAAAGGTAAAGAATTACAATTTTTCACTAAATTACTGAACGCAAGGCATGCTTGTTCTCTAACTATACACGACTCATCGTTACTGAGAATACATTGAAGTAGCATCTGACACAACTCACTCGGCGCTAACGCTACAGTAGTTAAAAGTTGAGAAGCGGTATGCAGGTTGTTTACTAAACCCGCGAGCAATTGCAAAGCGGACGCTTGAACCAAGGTGTCCCTATTTTGCCACAGCATAGGTAACCAACTCAACGAACGACCCTCGTCGTACCAAAACGTCGCAAAGGCCTATTTGGAAAAAGAGAAATTTACCAAAAATACAGGTCACTCCCGAATATAAATGAAATTATGCAAACGCGTGTACTCACAGTTTTATTGAAATTTGCCTGCATCTGATACAATAAGTGATTGAGGCATATTATAGAATTCCTAGTTATGGACAAGCCCATAAAGCTGACAGTTCCAGCGCCATGAAACGATATAATTAGTTCGATCAACGTATTCCCTAACGATATCAGTAAACCTTTATAATTCGCCCAGTAACATTTTCCAATTAAATACGTTAAACATGTCAACAGCCAATCGAGGTATGCTGTAACAGACAAACCATCCGGTTTACATCGTGTTAAGGAATCTATGGAACTGTGGAATTTTCTTAGATTCACCTAAATTATAAAAATGTTGTTGGTCTCCGAAGCATAAAGTAGACACTAACAGTTCGATAAAGTGAAGCCAGATATCTTCATCTTCGTCGGTAGACTTTTCAGGCTTCTCCGCGGCTGAACATGTTCGTGCCAATTTCAGTATCGATTGATGAACATTTTGGTCATCCAACTCCAAATCTTTAAATAACTCTGCCAATGATTTAGTTATATGCTTCATGACTTTGTTAGTCCATCTGTTTTTTCCTAATTTATGCGAACAAATAAATTCAATTTTATTACACGAACGATATAAAACTTTCATTTCCTAGGTACGCGAACGTACCATTTTTCGTGATATTCGCATAAAGCGTTAAAAAATTTAGAACATCAACGAACAAATCGTGGTCCTCTTTACTCGCCGGATGAGATAGTAAAAACCGTTCGAACGTTCGTTCCCAAGGTAACAAACTTATGTCCTTTATTTCCTCGTATTGTTGCATTTTATAAAATTTCATGTATCTAAAAAATTGGGCGATTAATAAATATAAAAAGCCAAGATGCCTAAAGAGATAATGAAAATGTTGAAATTATCAATTACACTGTAAGATAATCGAGCGCGCATGAAACAGCGTTGTGAGTGGTAGAATTTTGTATGTTGTACAATTGTTGTTGACAATAATAGTGAGGAAAACTAAAGCGCAAGATCATAAACTCATCCTCTTGAACGTGTAACTTTTCTGATGTATCGGAACTATTCACGTCGCTCCAACTTTTCCAAAGTACATTTAAGCCGTCGTTCCATTCCCACATCCAATATTGTTTAACAAAATTTAATGCTGCTCCATTAGCACTGTGAAGGACTATAAAATATAACAATGATTATTTTATTTATATATTGAACCAAATGAAGGTTAATTTGAAATACTCGACAACATCAATTTACCAGATAGGTCCGATCGCCTGTGCATACTTATTTTCCAATGTGATTTACAAAGAAACGGTAACTTCATCTTGCTCGTAATAAGATGCGGAAGCGAAATGTTCAATTGAATTGAATTTTCCGTGGATTTTTCACTCAATCTCATTATGTATTCGTTATAAAGCAACAAACACAAAAGTTGGGAACCATCGGTCCTAACGGATTCGTTACTTGGAAACAGAAAAACACCTGAAACGAATATTTCAAATAAATCTTAAATAATTTAAATAATTTTTCATCATTTCTATGCATTCGCTATACATACTCCTGATTATATTCGACAAAACATTTATCCGCGTAGACAGATCATGGCGAATAGCGCTCTCGGTAGATGCTAACAAATTTAATATAGTGATTATTGAAATCACCGAATCCGGATAATGAATATAATCCTTTTCTATCTAAAAATCATCGAGGATTATTGACCGAATTTACTTACATTGCTTGCTGATCTAATCATAATGAAATTTACCAAAGCACTGTTAAATGTTTTTAAAATTAAGGATACTCCGTTCTCGTTAATAAACAATTTATGCAGCGAGCTATCCGATAACATAACGCTAATTTGAACCAAAGCAGATTTTCGCATTTTTGGGTCAATGCTTGGTTCGTTTAACATTTCCAGCACAGACAACAAGTTGCTTCTCTGCAAAAGTTACATCATATGAAACTGTTAATATTATAATAGAGTTTTCAAAGTATAAAGAACGTGTATATGTAACCTGATAATTGCCTGCGGATTTTCTGATAAACGTTTGATGTTCAAGTATACAAAGTGAGTTGAGAGGTAATCCATGCAGAGACGATAATCGTGGCAATTTTTGAACGGAATCTTTTTCCTTTCCCAGAAGCCAAATCAATCGACAAACCGCTTCTTCTCTAATATCACTTTCCAATGAGAAAAGATATCGTAAGTTACCTTTAAAAACCTTTGAAGGAAAATACAGTATCGATTACAATATTAAGTTGTGCGAAAAAGAAATCTCTTCTGTGTAAAAATTACCTCGATATATGGTAACTGTATACTAGAAGAAACATCGGGATCAAAGAGTTTAGTTACGCACTGCCCTAACACTGTAGAAGAATGAGCATGACACTGCAAAAGGGGCAGTACTGGTACGATAGCTTCCAATAATCTTAACCATCCATTTTCTCCCATTTGAACTCTTCCTTTGAGTATATATACTAGTACATCTTCCGCCATTTCTTTTATCTGAACCGCAAAAAGAATTACTTCAGAAAAATTATACTTCACGATGTACAGAGCTAGGAAATTTGATCTTACTCTTTTATCCTCATTCGTTACACCATGAGAAATAATTTCCGTCAGTACCGATGATTCAAATAAGAATATCAAATTTTCCCAGGATAATCTTTCACTGTTATAGCTCGCGCTTAAAATATTCTTTACCAAAGTATGACATTCCTTATAAGTTGTATATTGCACATCAATATCTGCATTCGCCAATAAGCTCAGTATTAATTTTATTGCCAACACGTGATCTTCGCTGTCGAGAGAGTACCTTTAACATCGATGGAAAAAATATTTTACTTGAGAAAATCTCCGACATTAGTTTATATCCAAGAAGCTCTTTAAATTACATACCTATGTAAGTTTTGCACAAATCTGATAGTCTTTTTGATGATGTAGAAATTTTTGTGGTAGGACAAACACAATTTCGAAGCATATAATTTTTTCAATGTGTCCGAATGAGATAGATCTGATGAATTTTTGATCAAGGATATGGTTGCTTTCATTGATTTTGCTATTAACCTTGTTTCATCGAATATTTTGATGTATGCAGCTTCCTCGTTCCCTTGAAATTGCTAAGAAACCAGACACCAGGGATGCAGTAACTTTCTTCCTAACATTCATAATTAGAAATAACAGCGGTTACTTACACGACCGTAGTCTTGCAATACAGAGTGCAGTCTCGAGTATAAAAGATATATAGGGGCATCCATTATAGCTGTACATATCGAGGTTTTAAGAGATTTCGGAAAAACAACGTCCGCTATTTCCAGAGGCACGATACTACTTAGAAGTTTCATTGTAATAGTCAAAAGATGCAAATACGTTATCCTAAAGTGATCTATTGTACTATAGCTTTCAAAATATTGTATAACATCTCCGAGCATGTTAAATAAAGTTTTCATATCCTCGGTTATTTTCAAGGCCACGTTGTCATTACAGAGCCAAATATTTGGCATAATGCTTGTAGTCAGAAGATGCACTAGTTCGTATACTAAATCTGTTATATACTTTATATTTCTTAATGGAAATGCTGAGTTGACAGGAATGCTTAATTGAGATATGACGTGTCTCAAAGATTCAATACAATAAGTTGGTATAAGCATTTGTTGCAGTTGCAAAATAGAATCGTCAATATTATTCGTTGTGTTTTGGCTCCTTTCGCTTGTACCCTGAATAGAACGCGCAATATTAGAAACTGTAAGTAAATCGAATCATTTTATGAAATACGTACTGTAGATTGATACACCTGATAATTAGCTTCTAGAAATCCTCCATCAGGGCTATCCCTGGTGTCGGAAGAAGAATAAGCATTGCTGCTTAATTTTCCTGCTAACAACTAAAGAGTAATATCCTTATTAATATCCTATGTTATTGTGAACACATTCAAGATATTTCCAGCTTGGAATACAATTATTTACCTTTTGTTTTTTATTTGCGATACATGGTTCGCAATAATAACAAATTCTTAGCCTTAAAGATCTTGTTAATTTGTATAATGTTTTCAGTACCATTGGTATAACACTCCTGAGATTACTGTTTGAGGCATTTGCACTGGATTCCAAAAGGTTGTGTAGTATCTGTAATAAGTTTGAATTTACTGAACATCAATAAATGTTTAACATAAATATTAAAAAATAAAAGATTTCAAATACCGAGACTATTGCTGGTCTTTGGAGAAACACTTCAGCTGGAAAATCTTGCATCATTACATTTGTAATAAACTGGCAAGTATGTAATATGAGATTTGTATCTAAGATGTTGTTCAGAGCTTCTTCAACAGCTGCCAAAACACCTTTATCCGAAGTGACTAAAGGTTGCCATGGCAAAATTAACCATTTGACACCACCTTCTGTAGTCTTTAATACTGTTGTCCCATCTCCACATTCCAATGTTAAATCAAATGGTATAGAACTGCATTGAATAATTTCATATAATACATTATCGATGACCCAGATACTTAGGATTAATTTTAAATGACCTTAAGTAAATATTTTTAAATTACCTATCCAAAACAGAAGGAACAGAACGATTATATGATAAATCATGTTCTTCTGTTACATGTATTTTATTTCGATTGTACTCGTAATCTTTTATTCGTGTTCTGTGTCTGTCATAGTCAATAAATCCCATTCTCATAGAATTGGAATACTTGTAAAGAAATAAAACATAATTACAAAACATATAACATTCTTTTTAACTTATTAGCAATTGCATATAATCAAATTATGATCTAAGTTTCTATGAATTATTAATAAATGCTACATACCTTAGTATTTTCAATGTTGGTTGCTGTTGTCTGCAAATTATTTGCATTAACAACAACTTCCTCAATTTCATTTAATTTCTCGTGCCACTCTGAACCTAATTTTCTTCTTAATTCGTGAAGTTCATTTTGAAATCTTAATTTACCAAATGCATTCAAGTAACTGTTATCAGCTGTCTGCTAAGACGTACGACAATTAACGAAATTTATTATAATAAAATGTTGCTCGTCAATAAAACATTTTAAATAACGATGCACTAAACTATTAACAAATACCTTCAACAGACGTAGTATCAAGTCCAAGACTTTCTGCGTTTGTGAAAAGTTGCTAAACGAAAACCAATTGAACAGTTTCGTTATTAATTCCTTTTTCACGGCATCACAGTCAGACCCAAATCCGAGATCATATTTTGAAATAATATTGTCCAAAGCTCTCGATCGAATTTCCTCAAGATTGTGACCTGCGGTAAATTCTAATATATTTTCTATACGCTAGTCGGCTTTATTAAAAAATAAATACTAGAACTTACTTAGCTTCTTAACGTGTACCGCTGATATTCCACTCATGTTTGACATTTCTTTAGATACAAAACATTCGCACTTTAGGTTAACTGCGTCAATTTGTAAACGAAATGGGCGCCAAAATGACGTTGCACTGCCATCTTACGTTGCAGATCTCGAACCTAAAATCTTGCATCATCGGTAACGTCGAGCGCAACACCGAAAACGTCTCTATACGTATTTCAAGTCTGTGATCAGTTTTTGTCATTTACTTGAGCGAACAATGTGGCGGGCTGAACCGTTTAATATTTTTGGACATATTGCTGCTAGTTGACGGTAAATGTTATGCGTTCGATATAAGTACGGGTATATATTTCTTCTATGTTTTATAAAATAATCATTTTGAAATATAATTTTTAAATTGTTATATGTTTGATTTATGCTTCAAAAATTGCTGGTAACCTTTAAATTCTTTGTTATATCATATCCATGTGTACTACCGGTATACGAATACAAAATTTGTTAAATTATTCTTAATATAATGAAATGAATTTAAAAAAGAGAAGTATAGCGTGTTTATTTATCAATTTTATTCACGAGTTTATTAAATATAAATTGATGGTATCTTTTATTAAGCATTTGATTTGTTATATAGGTTACTTTGAATGTATGTATTTATATGTTCATTTCTTATTGTAGATTAAACAATGGTGAGACATAATAATCAGTTACCAGAGAATCTTCCACAACTGCAGAATCTTATTAAACGCGATCCAGAATCTTATAAAGAAGAAGTAAGTTTCTTATTGAAATATTGAATCCATATACATAATTATTATTATCAAATATAATTTATTTACATGGAAGATTCGTTATTATATGCCCATATCTTTATAGTTTCTCCAACAACATCAATATTATAAGTCTACTTTGGAAGTATTTCGTCTAACACCTAACAAATTTAATAAGAGTCTGGATGAAATAGTCATCTTTCTGGCACAGGTAAATCTTTCAATCATTATTTCAACTTATATAATAATAGATTTTTCAAATATATTAGAGAGGTATATTATTAGAGAGGTTTTTTCTCTTACAGGTATGATAAAGAAACTACGTGAAAAAATACATTCACAAATAGCTTCCTTATTATTATATGACAGTAATTGATAAAGAGCTTTTAAGAATAATAGTCATGGAGAACTACTTAGAATATATTAAGGGTAAAATTATCTGCCGAAATAATATTATAAAGCAACTGTATTCTTTAATTGGTTATCCAGATGAACCTATGCCTTACAGTATATTTATATCTGGTCACGTAGCAACTGGAAAGTCTTTAATAGTAGAAAGTATGCTTTCCTTTTTAAAGTACAATGCTTCTATTGTTAATTGTATTGAACATATAAATGTTAAGCACATATTTGATTACATATTAAGCGACTTATTCTCGGCGGCAAATAAATTTGAAGTTAACACCAAACTGCAACGCAGATGTGATAACATTGTTGATTTCACAATAAGTCTTAGAGAGATTTCAATGAATGATACTCGACCGATTGTGCTAGTCTTCGATAAAGCCGAAAAGCTGAGAGATGTCGATTCCAATTTGCTACCTGCATTATTAAGGTTGAAAGAATTATCAAAAGTTAATGTTTGCGTAATATTTATAAGCGATTTAATATGGGAAAAATTTCGTATAAAAGTTGGCATGTATGAACCGATTAAAATTCAATTCCCTCAATACACGCGAAACGAGTTTACCGAAATATTACTTCGATACATGCCAGACAACTATGACGAGACGTTTTATAAAAATTACTTGAATTTATTTCTTTCCGTGTTTTTACGATTTTGTCGAGATTTCAATGAGCTTCGTTACATGGCTAAAATAAATTTTTTAAAATACATTGAACCCATTGAAGCTAGCGAATCTAAAAAAGACGATACTGCTATGCTGTGGAGAAATATCTCTACAGTTTTCAAGTCGAATTTAGAAGTTATTTATCTACGTGTTTCATCCGAAGATTTTACAAAACACAGTCAAATATCCAAGGAAATTGAATCAACAACAAAGTTAGCGTTAAGTTTTGAATTACCATATTATGCGAAATATATGTTAATTGCTTCGTACCTCGCGTCGTACAATCCCGCCAAAGAAGACAAACATCTGTTTGTGAAACAAAAAATGGGTAAAAGGAAAAAAGCACATACTAAACCAAATTCGAAGAAATTAAATGTTTACTGTGGCCCTCACAACTTTCCAGTTTCTAGAATGCTTGCTATCTTTTGCGCGATTCTCGATGAGAAAGTTGATATAAATGCCAGTTTGCTTGCGCAAATTCCATCCATGTGTCAATTTGGTTTATTAAGTTTTGTAGGAAATTACAATTTGGATGAACTGAAACTTAAGTGTTGCGTATCTTACGATTTTATTCTCGTAATAGCCAAGTCTGTTGGATTTACCATACAAAACTATATATACGATCTTATACATTAAGCGCACTGTGGTTTCTGTAATGTCCAACCATCAATCACCATCATTGTACAAGCAATACGTTAGCTTACTAACATTTTTCTTTTGTATCCACTTATTTATATTTAACAAATAAAGAGTTATGATTTGTAAGTATATTATGTCCTTTTTTACAGTCAAAATGCTTTTATCATGGAATATGCATGCAAGTGCAGAATGTACCAGATGCAAAGTATTGCTAATTTATCATAACTTAATTTCATTATATTTTTATTACTTTAATGCAGGTGGCTCACTGTTACCCAAATGATCTAGAATTGTTTCCTCAAGAAATCATCGATGTACTGCAAACATACAATACAGTACTTGACAATGAAATGCGATTAGTGAGTGTGGAATGTAACAAATTTTTACTACGCAAAATATAATGCCTCTAAGCTCGTTATTAATTTTCTTCTTTTTTCTCTTGTAGACGTTTTGCAAAGCCCTAATTCAACTCCGCAATAAATCACTTTTGGAACCAACGGTACTTCTTAGTCTATTCTTTCAGCTGTTGAGATGCCAAGATAAAAACTTGAGACAATTTCTTGAAACACACATCATAGTCGACATTAAAAATGTCAATGCTAAACAAAAAAATGCGAAGATCAACACAACTTTGCAAAATTTTATGTTTTCAATGTTGAAAGATTCAAACGTTAGAGCTGCGAAAATGTCTGCAGACATTATGATAGAATTGTACAACAAAAACGTTTGGAACGATGCAAAAACCGTAAATGTCTTAGCAACAGGATGTTTTGCAAAAACGACAAAAGTTATGGTCGCTTGTTTAAAATTTTTTGTAGGATCCGACGTGGAAAAAGATGGAAGTGACAGTGATAGCGATAGCGAACCAAATATTAAAGAAATTGTAATGGCTAACAGAGTAAATAAGAAAACGAAGAAACGCGAGAAACAATTAACTAAGGCAAAACAGTTGTTAGCGGTAAGTTGATCGCGTTCACTATAAGCTTACTATTCGTACAATTGCGAATTATACAAATCACTTATAATTTATTTCATTCAAATATTTCAGAAATCTAAGAAAAAAGCATCAAAAGCACCAACATATAACTTTTCGGCGTTGCATTTAATTCACGATCCACAAGGCTTCGCAGAGAAGTTATTTAAACAGTTAGAAAAAAATAATGATAGGTTTGAAATTAAGCTGTTAACTTTGGATGTAATCTCGAGACTTATTGGCCTACACAATTTATTCCTACTGAACTTTTATCCTTATCTCCAGAGGTTTCTGCAACCACATCAGAGAGGTAAAGTTTTATTCGATAAAAGATATACCTGGGTAATATTAAGATATAAAATAAGATATAATTAACTATTACTTTATCCGATGTAGAGGTAACAAAACTTTTACAATTCATCGCTCAGTCTTGTCATGAACTCGTGCCACCTGATTTATTAGAACCCATATTGAAAACTTTAGCAAATAATTTTATTACGGAAAGGAATTCTGCCGACGTTATGGCTATTGGGTATGTATGAATGAATAGCTCGGTGGTCGTCATAAAGAAAAGAAATTATGTAGCAAACATTTAATTGATTCAGTGTTAAATTATAAATTATAGTTTGAATGCTGTCCGAGAAGTATGTATACGTTGTCCTCTGAGTATGAATGCAGATTTGTTGCAAGATTTAGCACAATATAAACACTACAAAGAACGTAGTGTGATGATGGCTGCACGATCGTTGATCGGTGTATTCAGGACTACAATGCCAGAGTTGTTACATAAGAAAGACAGAGGACGACCAACAGAAGCAACTGTGGCCTTGGAAGTTCCAAAATATGGATCTGTTTCTGCTAATGATTTTGTACCAGGAGCTGAAGTTTTGTTGAACGCTAATTCTGATCAAGCTCAAGATAGTTTTGTAATAGACAGTGAAACTGACGTAAGCATCAAAAATATCGACAGCTAATAATGAAATTTTATCATTAATTTATAATAATTTATAATAATACAATTTTTATCTTAGTCTAGTAACGACGGTTGGATCGACGTAAACCACAGTAACAATGATCACTATGAAAGTGATAAAAACGACGACGATAATAGCGATGGCGATGGCGATGGCGATGGCGATGGCGATGGCGATGATGATGAAGATGAAGATGAAGATGAAGATGACGATGATGACGACGACGGCGGCGACGATGATGAAGCATCAGCTATTACCGATTCCAAATCTAATGCAGAAGGCGATAGTGGGAATTGTGAAGGAACAAATGAAAAGATCGAAACAGACATTGGAAGGAATGAAGATATGATTATTCAGGGTACTGGAAATCAACAAACAAAAGGAACGAATGGTCCAACAAAAAAATTGAAGAAAACAAAAGTAAAATCGAAAGGAACAGAAGATTCAAGGCCAAAGCAGGAAAACATAACGACAACTGAAAAGAAGGAAAAAGCGTCTTTAATGTCTACCGAACGTTTATTAACCGATGAGGATTTTATGAAAATAGATATGGCAAGAGCAAAGCAACAAGTAACGTACGCTAAACGCGGCGTAAAACGATCTCATACAAATGATACTGAACCCGGTGATTTCGTCAAATTGTCAGACATCGAAAATATATATAAGAAACGGAAACATGACAAACAAGCTCGTATTGAATCTGTAAAGGTTTGTTTTCATTACAGTGTTTGGAATACTAAATCATATTAATCTTTTAACAGCTTCTACATTTTTTAATTACATTTTCTCTCTTTTTTTCAGAAAGGGCAAGAGGAAAGAGAAAAATTTGGCTACAAAGATGGAAGACAGAATCCATTTTGTAGTAAAACAAATCGTGAAAAGAAAAAAACCAAAGCGTTTCAAATGTTGAAACACAAAGTTAAAGGAAAAGTAAAACGGTCCTTTAAAGAAAAGCAAATTGCTTTAAGAAATCATTTATTGAAACAGAAGAGGATGAAATGAAGAATGAAACGTGGTTGTAAAAATTATATGAATGAAAAAAAAATTGGATACAATAAAAGAATATTTTTGAAAAATAGTTTTCTCTAAATTTTAACCATCGAACATCGTTACCTTCTCTTCGTTAAGCTTGTGGGACTCGATGTCACACATGTTCTGAATTATCGACTGTGTCAAAAATCGAAGATTTTGCTCTACCTTCCACGTCTAGGGAACGATCAATAGAAAAACTTTATCTCCGTTCTGCATATCATTTATAAATCATGTATACTATAACTTGTGCCAAGAATGCCTAAATCGGTGCCCACTTGGGCACTCTAGTGATACTTTCCTCACGAAAAGTTTCTCTATATCGAATGTAAATAAGTAAGTACCTTAAGTAGGTATTTATTTACAGATTTTAGTTCCAAAGGAACCTTTTGGTGGAAACATGGACATCGAAGGTTCGAAATAGAAGTTTCGCTTCTATAAAGGTACCCTTATGTGGGCGTTTTATTATTGGTGGTATCACTGGTGTTTTTTATTATATTTTTTCTTTAAAAACATCACAAAAATCGCAACTGAGAATTATTAATGTAGATCGTTAATTTGATAAAAATTAACGATCGATGATATAGTCAATCGAAATATATTATACGCAAAGTATCACAATACAAGAAACTACACAACAGCATCGAATAGTAATTTTTGTGTGAACAGTTGTATTTGAGTACTTGGAATGGACAACTACTATTTTAGCCGGCGTAGCTCATTATTGTTGTTGGTCCTATTATTGTAGTATGCGTTTTTGAAAATTAAACAGCTAATGTCGGGAAGTGTAACTTATTTAAATAATTAAACACCGGAAAGTCTATTTAACTTCTGTTTAGATTATTAATGTATCTGCCGTACTGACAGGATTAAAGGTTAATATTTTTATTTCAACAAAAACGGTTTCGCATTTGGTGAAATATGTTGATAAACCAAGATCCACAGTGGAATGGTGTTACAGCATCTGAGATTCAGATATTTCCAGATCTTGAATTAATGGGTATGGTATATACTGTTTACTATGAAACAAGATGCTTAAAATTCTTATGGCAGTCTACATGTTAAGTTGCTTTTATTATTGTAACTTAAACAAAGATACACTTTTTTCCAGATGGCGATTGTTTACCTCTCTCAGATGATTTATTTCAGTCTTTAAGTTCTGAATTAAGTGTTCCACTTTTCATAGAGGATGAAACACCTTCCCAAATAGAGACTGATTTCGACGATCAAATCACAAATGATGTCTCTTTCGGAGAACATACATCGTGTCTGGAAGATTTTGATGTCCACACCTTCCAACAAAGTCCAAGTATGTTTTTAATATCTTCCTTTTTCTTATAAGTTGACATTTGATGAGAAAGGTATAAAGTTACGAATTCTACATTATTTTTAGATATCAATTCAAATTTTACTAATGATGTCAAAACAGAAATTAAGTTGGAACCTGCCAGTCCTTATATGCAATTGCCATTATCTCCTGTATCAAGCCATTCGGAATCTAGTACATCTGAATCTCAAATGGAAGTGGACTCTGTTATTTCATTATGCGATTTTAAGGTCTGCTAATTGTTAAATCAAGTGTTTTGATTCTTTTCCGTAGTTAAATATTGTCTGTGCATTAATTCCTTGCAGCCAACTCCAGAGACACCACCAATTTCACCACCTCAAAATATTTCTCCATCTACATCTCCAGAGCCAATCTTTGATACAACTATTGGAAAGCAAGTAAGATTGATGCCTATTAAATCTCAGGATGGAAAGTGTACAAAATTTGTTCTTTCTAAAGCAAATTCAGCTAAACACGTTCGAGTTCAGCCAAAGAGAGAGTCTACAAATAATGGTAAAACAGTATTCTTAAAATAAAAATAATAAAAATAATTCGTTATATAGTATCAATAAATTGCACGATACAGATTTACATCTTGTTTCTCAGGACAGCCTAGGAATACGATTTTGTTGAACTCACAGAATTTTGTTACATTCGCACAGAAGACTAAACAGAATTGCACATCATACCCTTTTGTGACTCATTTACTGTCAACCGACGGAAATATCAAAGCGCAAAATTCAGTACAGTTCTCGCCGGTTCAAATAAAAGCAGAAGCAAGTACAGCGCAAATATCACAAGAAAAGTACACAAATACTGCAGACGTATACATTCCAGGAAGAGAATCTGGTATCGGTGTCACTGATAGATCTTTGATTCTTAGAAATGATACAAATGGATGCACCTCTATAGTTATGAAAAATGACTCGCCTGGATGTAGACCAATTTTAATTAAAACAGAGCACTCGAATTACACTCCAATTGTCATAAAAAATGAAGCTCAAAGCGTTAATTTTACTGGACGACAAGAAAATGAAATAAAAGCATTGAAAAGGCAACAAAGAATGATAAAAAATAGGGAGTCTGCTTGTCTTTCTCGAAAAAAAAAGAAAGAATATGTATCTTCACTGGAAAAACAAATTTGTAAATTGCAAGAAGAGAACAAACAACTAATGATGGTGAGAGCTTTCATGAAATTAAATATTCATTCGTTAGCTATAACTTATCTTAAGATAATAATTATAATGAAACTTTGTTTGCGTTAGGAAAATACAAACCTGAAGCAGAAACTGTCAGCACTAGAAAATACAATGGGCACTAACAACAAACATAGAAGTATCAATCTAAGTGCAAATAAAAAGAATGTTGCTATTCTTTTGGGTATGGCTCTTATGATATCCTTAAATGTCAATACTTTCAGGTAAGTTCATAAACATTTCTATAAAGATTTTATTATTGACAGTAGTAATTGGTTTTAATCAGCTCTCTTGCAGTAATGTTCTCTCGAAAAATAATCATCTGAACGTGTTGCCTGTTGACATTACTACTAATACACCGTACATAAGACATGGGAGGACGTTGTTGTGGACATCAAAGGATCAAATTCAAGAAGATCACAAAGAGAGTTTCCGTAAAAATATATCGGTGCTTCAACCCATGTGTCCCATGTATATAAATAAAAGTGAATCGATTCGTTTGGATTACGAATTGAGGCGTTGGATCGGTGGAGATTCCGATCAAGATAACAGGATTACACCGAAGAGCGCAAAGTTCGACGCGAAATTCTTAGAAGGATTATTATCGTCGCCGTACGTGATGCAAAAGAAAGTTAAAGAAAAACATAACGCGTCACGGAAAACTAAGGCAGAAATGCTTGGTAAAACAACGGGCTCTTCGATATCGAACGCGGTGGAAGTTTTCTCTCCGACGTTGAAAGAGCACGCATCTTTGTTTGAAGCTTTAGGTAGAAGAGACGATACGTTCTACGTCGTTTGGTTTAGCGGAGAGCATTTACTTTTACCAGCTTCGAGGAAAAACAGCACGGGCAGACCGAAAATGTCATTAGTTCTTCCTGCATTGCCTACGAATGGTAAGAGATGTTCTATCGAAAGATGATCAAAAGAAACGAAGCGTCTTTGTAGTCGCGATCTATACTATTCTTTTCTTATCGTTTCACAGAAACGTTTTCAACGCCTGCAAATCACATAACTATGATGCAAATCGATTGTGAAGTTACTAATACGCAATTATTACATTTACAACAATCGGTAATACCGAATCATTTGAAAAACAGTAATAGATCTGGAAATCAGACGCGCCAAACTCCTGTGACTAATGATATATCCAACAGTGTGACAGAAGATCTGACTAAAAATTATAGACCATACTTTATCAAGGAATCTAGCCAGAAAATTTTCCACAAACGGAATTTAAAAGATATCTATGAATTTAACGTACAAGAGATGAAGCCCGAAATCTCGCAGAAAGGCACGCAGAAAACAGAATCGTCAACGAAGTTTATGGGATCACAAAAAAACAAAAATAAAACTATCTATAACGCATAGGTTAATCTAATGTTGTGCTTTAATCTACGTTGAAATGCACGCACGTTTACAAACTCGATTGTTTGGTAAGATAGATGAATAAATTAATATCATTATTGTATAAATAAATGATACGGAACAATAGACGAATATAATAACAAGATGAATAAGTATCATCTTTTAAAAAGTTTATAACATATTCGTACGGAGAATAATATTTATATATATATATATATATATGTCTAACGAGAATATTAAAAATTTTATTGAAAACATACAAATGCGAATATGTTCAAGCTAAACTATGAGTCTACAATGATTTGTAGGTACATATGTCCTATTGTATATTATATACATTAGGACAAATTTTCTCGAATGGTACAATTTGTAAGGTAAAGTAACACAAGGAAAATATAACAAATAAAATGAATACATTTGTTAATTAGTATGCTGTGATCGTACTTTAATAAAACTTAGATAATTACGTATCTAATTACGTATTTAAGATTTCTAATTTTTACACATGGCAAGAGTGTTAAGTTCGCATTCATATTTGAAAGTGAAATTTTATGTATGTATGATACAGATGTAAAATAAATGATATGAGAAGAGCTAAATGATCTGAAAGCAGAGATTTTCATTGGAGTATTTTTTAATACTGGCACAGCACGGAACTGGTAGTAAGTAGGAATACTTTCCTTATTCGTTTTTACAAAGGTTTCTGTAAAGCACCTAGAAGACGAGTAAAAACAAATTTGTATTTATTTTAAAACTGGCGTGGAACCACCAAGGTATGTCCTTAAATCTGTTATCGTCGATTGTATAAGCTTAGCTTTGATGTATGGTCTTCCCAGTCTCTGATGGGCCGTGTATCGATGACAACCACCAAACGAGTAATAATAATCACCGCCTATAATGAAAAAGAACAGAATAATGTACAATGAACCGTTACGCTCATATCTATTTACAAACTAAATAAAATCAAAGATCATATTACCTTCGCTGCCTTTAATCCACAAAACATCGATCGGTGGCACAGAGGATTCTGATTCAGGACTCTTTAATGTGTTCATTAAACTTTCAACTTTCTCTTCGTCGACGATCGGGGGAATGGGTCTGATAATTACATCCATTGGTACATCGTAAACCTCAGCGTTTACATCGGAATGAACACTTGTGGGGCTTCTATTACTCATTTCGGAAACTGAATCTGAAAACTATAAAAGTCAGAAAATGTTGAAAGGGAACCAATTGCAGACTAGCCGTACAAAAACATTTTCGAAGCGATGCCGAGGTTGTTTGATATTATTTCAGTCTAAAATACATTTTAATTAATATAGGAAAATATGTAATATTCTTGATTGAATACATACTGTTCGGTAAAATAACGGTAAACTCTGAAATCAGTGAACTATAAGCAGAGATATTGCAGCATGCTGTGTAATCTTGTGATGAATCATAGAAAAACGGACTCGAACTACCAAGTACAGTAGGTAGTATCTGTTTAGTTTGTACAGTTGACATAGGAGGGGATGAGTTATCAACTTAGGTGGGGATAAAGATAATTATATGAACGTTGCTGGAGAGAGAACGCTTCCGTGAACATTTTTAAATAATATATAATATTAATAAATTTGTTAATACCTATGGAAGATAATATCATACTTTTTGTAGTGGTTCATTAACTAGGAACGAAATTATGTACTTTGCCAAATCTTTGTATGCATGGGCTTCGATACTTTCTGGAGCAGAAAATACAACTGGTTTACCATTGTCGCCACTTTGCGCAATATTTTTGGATACAGGTATTGTCTGTAAGATTTTCACACCTACACAGAATACATGAAAAGCTATGAACAAATATTAGTATGCGTTGAAAATTACATAAACTTAATATTTAATACCAAATTCTTCGATCTCAGTCTTCATTTCATTATCATAAAGACTTATTTCATTGTTACACTTAGTACACACAATGCTGCTCATATTTTCTACAATTCCAACAATTGGAATGTTCAATTTTTTAAACATATTAAGTCCCCTTCTAGTTACTTCTAAAGATGCCTTCTGAGCTGTAGTCACCAACAATGCTCCAGTGACTGGGATATTCTGTATTATTGAAAGATGCGTATCTCCTGTTCCTGGAGGGGTATCGATAATGAGATAATCCAAAGGATCCCATGCTACTTGATACAACAATTTTTCAATGGCACTCATTACCATCAATCCTCTCCAAATTACAGGAGATTTATCATTGATTAAGAAGCCCATGGACATGCTACGTACGAAGAAGAACTATAGGGATTAATTGCAACAACTGATAGACGACGCAGAATACCAAATGAAATGTTTACCATTTTACTCCATAATTCACAACTGGTTCTATAAGTTTGTTGCTGTTAATCACAGGAGATTCTCGTATATTCATCATTAGAGGTACACAAGGCCCAAATATATCGGCATCGAGTAGACCAACAGATTTTTGCGGTTCAAGAACTTTTAAAGCAGTGGATAAGTTCACAGCAATTGTAGATTTGCCAACACCTCCTTTCGCAGAAGAAACAATAAATATCTGCTTGACACCCTTCAAAGGTTTTTGTCTTGGGAGGCCACGTGACATTATTTCTTTTCGTTTCGCTTCAATTTCTTTTTGCTTTTGATCATCATGATAACCAATGGGACTCTAAAATGATAGAAAGAGAAAAGTAAGCTTGAAACATAATTCTCTCTACTTAAAAATGTTATACATTCGAATCTTTACACTACTAATGTTAATATACGTATCAGATCTAAACACGTGCGTCTTGAAACAATGAAATTACATAAACAAAATCGAATTTAATAGAAGAAAAATAGCGGTGAATTATGTTACAATAATTAAGGAGTTGTACATACCAGGAATAACGAACGGTGATTATTCGCGTTCCTATGATTCCATCGGAAACGCAGCAAACATTTCTTAGAGGCTAAAGTCGACAACATTTTCGACAAGATTTTCGCACTAGTATACTTAAGTATGTATAGAATTGTTTGACGACACAGGCCATCTCTCTAACCTTACATTTCAAATCGTACAATCATCAATAGGATTGAATTTATAGTCTGAAAAGATACTTCATATGATTCGGCGAAATATTTTTACAATCCAATATCCGATAGTTCAATGCTTCATTTGTGTGCATTCGAATAGCACACTTTTCGAAGTTTCATTTGGATCCATTGAAAATTTTGATGGTTTTCGTTGAAAGTAACTGAGATGTTTAACGCGAGGGCGGTACAGTTTTTCGTTACTGTGAAGTACATATCGGTAATGCGATGGATCTTATGCTTTTTTCTTAATATAAATATGTGAATGTAAGTCCTTATCTCCCTTTAAATTAGATTTTATAATGAACTTTTAATTTATATTTGAATCTGAAATTGGTTATCAATTTGGTATTTTGTAAACTACTTTATTACCTTATAGCGTTAATATCGTTGTGTTATAGTTAACCTAGATATTCAATTACAATATACAGTGACTTTCCTCAGTTGAATAAATCGTGTTACACGAAACGGTTGATAAAATTTCTCGCGAAAGAATCGTGTGTTTGAATGTTTTTGTCGGTGTAATCATTCGATGTGTTCATATAATTCGATACTATATTCGTGTAACGAGGAATCACGCGTAATCGTTCATATAATCGATTCGATTCATAATTTGATCGATGACATAGTATTATTTAATATCTTTCACATGTTAAACAATCAATGATTCGTATGCTATGAGTAAACTAATCGAAAAAGGGAAATCGGTGATTAAAATTTAGTGCATTGTGTTGGATCTATGTACCCTGATAAAATTATGAAGTCGTTATGTGATAGTGCGTTTAACATATGCATTTTTTGTAAACTAGCGCATTTTACTACAAACACGTATGTATCTCGTGTTAGTATTATAATAAATGGTTAAATGTTACACGATTAAATGTCCATTGTTTATTAGATGTAACGTAATCTAAGGTTAAGTTCTTATTTACATAGGCAAAACGTGTTGCACTAACGAGTTAAGGTGTACGGAATATGGGCCTAAACGCAGCTGTACAAGCTTTAAAGTGAGTAAAAGACAATTTGTCGAGTATTTATGCCTTTCTGTATATTCAATGTTTTTTGGGAAAGTTATTCAATTTGTACACTTATTAGAAAAGCCGAGCCACTAAAGGATAAAGTTCAACGTTGTAAAGACCTTTTAAATGATAGCGATGCATGGGTATGTCAGCAGCAGTTACAAAAAATATATCAACAAGTGCTCATATTGGATCTGGAATACGCGTTGGATAGAAAGGTAGAGCAAGAACTTTGGAATCTTGGATTCAAGAATTACATAGCAACTCTACAGTCGCAAGCAAAGGATAGGAAAAATCCTAAACGAGGAGAGTCTCAGGCGTTACTCAGTTGGTGCTTGGAAGCAGCAAGCGGTTTTTATTTAACGTTACTACAAGAAATTTGTACAGCATTCGATTTAGATTTACCGTTCAGAAGGTAATTGGACGAAATCCACTAAAAGTATGAAATATTTTCGGACAATAAATGTACATAAGACTTATTTCGTAGGAAAGGCTATGTTTACGGATGTACTTCGCCGTGGAAGGCTGTCGAGAACCTGTCGGTGCCTCATAAATCGTCGTGTTTCTACGCGTGCCAGTATTGTCTAGTACACTTGGGAGATATTGCTCGTTATAGGAATGAGAGTAGACAAGCGGAACTGTTCTACAGACATGCCGTATCATTGTCACCATCCAGCGGGCAACCGTACAATCAGTTGGCACTTTTGGAAGCGTCGCGCGGCAATAAGTTGGGAACCGTGTTTCACTATACGCGTTCCGTTGCTGTGAAACATCCGTTTCCCGTCGCCACCACGAATCTAGCGAAAACATTATCCTCTGCTTTAAACGACACCTCTATAAATGTCGAAGGTAAAACTAAATTAACTTCCCAGGAATACATAGCAATCTTCTTGAAACTGCACGGTGTTATTCATAATCTTGGGAACCTGAAGACCGCATCTATATACACGAAATTGTTGACCGAAACGCTAACAGCTTTAGTGGCGACGGAAAGTTTCAGTTCCTGGATGCTCGTTCAAATGTTTGTAATTAATTTGTACGCGTTGGAACATACGACAAGTGTCGTTATGGGCAACACCGAACCACTGAGGAACGAACAGTTAACGTTCGACGAAAGAATAGCCCGAGACTGCATCCTGGATCTGATCGCGGGGAGTCTGTCCGCTTTATTGTTGCCAGTCTATACGATCAAGAATTCTATCGTCGAGTACTTCGCTTTGCCTTCTATAAAACTGTGCCTTGATTGGATTCATACAAAACCCACAGTTTTGGAAGAAGCTGCTTTTACATCGAGACTTCAGATCTGGCCCAGTCTTTGCGTCTTACTAAATGCCTTACAGAATTGCGTAGTCGATTTTGCTTACGATCAATACGTTAATGTACCACTGCCAGAAGATCGTGATTTACAAGGCTTCTTGCCGCTGGAAAAGAGTTTCGAGTGTCTGAAATTTACGAGTACCGACTTGGAGGGCGACGCCGAGACTTCCAACAAGTTGCGCGCGGTCCGTATTTTACGTTTGGGTCATTCTCTGGCACAGTACAGAATCAATGGCACTGCATTGATCGCCGTTACAGGAGGAGAGGAGAAAGGCGACAAGAAATTTAGTTCGATGAGCGAGGGGAACGGGCCAAGCAACGAGCTGATGAAAGAACTGGAGGAGCTCAGTTTGAACAAGGAAAGGCCGTGTCCGTTCGTGTCGGCTAGTCCGGTTCTCTCGGAATCTGCCAGCAGTAAAAGCTCCGCGGACGTCGACACGCTATTGGAGAGCACGCTCGACAAGAAAATAGGGATTTTGAAACCTCAGGGTTCGCTGGAGCGGAACAAGGATTCGTTGACTGCTCACGCGGAGTGTAACAATTTCGAGGGTAACACGACGGCGGCTCCTCTCCCGAGGAAGCCAAGACAGAACATAGCGATGCAAGCTATTATGCGCCGCGCCGAAACTGAACAGAAACAAGTGACGTTCAAGAACGTCTCGCCGTTGGTCGTCGACGAAGAAAACGAGAAAAAGGGTAAAGTTGGTTCGACCTCGCCGGTGAAAAGTATGCCCGCGGGAAACAAGAGCATTCCAATTATCGGAGAAACCTCGAAACCGAACAATCTACCTGTGGCGTCGACAGCCGCGTTGACCAATTCGATTCAGAGCCGCTTACCATTGATACCCTTCTCGACGACGACCGTGCAAAATCCAATTGTGTCGCCATCGAACCAACCGAAACCAGCGAAAACCCAGCACGTTGTCTCGCACCTCTCGCAAATTAATAATCTCCCTACGAAGGAGCAACAGACCGGGAACAACCAACCCATAGCGTCGGGTATATCTCAATGCGTGGGGACGATTTGCTATCAGAGTCCACCGTTTAATGTACAAAATCCACAGTTTACAAAAACTTATATGACCAATCATATAGGAAACACGGGAAATTATCCCGTGCAACAAGGACAGTTCGCTTCGAGCTCTGGGCAGCAGTCGATACCTCAGAATATTAGTTTGCAACACGCGTCGAGTCAAAGTAGGCCCCTGCATCAACGATTGCAGATTCACAATATGCACCAAAATACGTTGGTGCATCAAAACATTGGCCATTTTCCATCCTCGAGCCAACAGAATATAATATCAGCTATGTCGCATAATATTAGTTCTCAACAGAACATAACGATGCAGCAGCAGCAGCAGCAGCAGCAGCAGCAGCAGCAGCAGCAGCAGCAACAGCAAGCTCATAACTTGGAAGTTCAGCAGCAAAACGTTGCAAAGTCCGGTCTTCGATCAAGTACAATACCTTTACATAATCCAGTCAGTTTAACCAGTTCGGGCATCGTAAATGCTTCAGCGTTGTCGACGTTAAATACATATCAGAAGAATCTTCATCAGAACGTACCGTCGAACGCGCCGTCGAACGTACCGTCGAACGTACCGTCGAACGTGCCGTCCAACGTGCCGTCGAACGTACCGTCGAACGTGCCGTCCAACGTGCCGTCGAACGTACCGGCGAACGTACCGGGAAGCTCGTTAAGTCCGACTAGCACGTCGAGCTTTCACTTTCATTTCAACCAAAGCGATTTCAATCAGAACGCTTTCGGTCAAATGTCGCAGAAGCAACTGTCCTCTTCCGTGTACAACAAAAGTTCGGACCTTTTAGAGTTTTCGTTTCCGAATCAGATGGGCATGCCGAGAAGCCAATCGCAGCTCGCGAACAATTATCCGCTGTTCCATAATTACGAGAGCACGAACTTCGGCTTATGGAAAGATAAATTTTCTCAACAGTCGCAGATCTCGGTACCTTGCTGGGGCTCGAGCACAGCCGGGACACAGTTGCGCGGCAAAGATACAACTACGATCGAGAATTTCCGTAATTGGGAGGACTCTGTCAGCCCTGGGAACACGGTCTCGCAATTGCCGGTGAGATCGAATTATCAAACCGATTCGCAGCACGGCAAACAACACTTCATCGGCGGAAACTTTGAGCACTCTGCCGCGCGAGAGGTACGCGTTAGGTTTATTTTGAATACCGAATACAGTCCGCCGACTGGACGGTGTTACCAGGTTGTGTGTATTTGTTCGCAGATGGACTTGAAATCTTCTCAGTCGATCAACACGGGGAACACTTATTCGCTGTTCAGCAGTAACAACACGTGGGGTTCGAGCTCGCAGGCGTGTAACGTATCGAATCAAGATCAGACGAAAACTCGACTGAGTCAGCAATCCTTGTGGTCCGGACCTGGTCCGTCTCCTTTGGAACGGCTTTTGGAACAACAGAAATCTTTACGCGAAGGAGGTACCTGAAGGAAAGCAATACAGAGATTTTATCGAAATATATTGGAAAAGAATTTATTCGATTTGTGGATTCAGCTACCGAAGGGAGTCCAGTAAAACAACGTACCACAATAAATATCGGTTGTTCGATGAGAATGTTAAATTTGTTACAATGCAACAGCTACCATGAGGTTTCAACGTAGCCGTTTAGAAATTCGTTTAAATCGAACGAATAATTCATACGTCCAAAGCGTTATGAAATACGCTCTAGAAAATACATAGGTATTAATACCTTACGTTACTTATTGCGCGCATGGTAGAAAATGAATATATTCTGATGGTGTCTGTCGCACTATGGATTTTTGTCAAAATAGTTCTCTTAAATATATTAAAGAACAGTTGGTTGAAATATTTTGAATCGCTTAGGAGAAAGGAAGATTCGATAACAAAAGAATTCGTTGCGATTCGTTGCGATTCGTTGCGACTCGTGTATGAGGAAGATACGGTACATAGATTCGATTGAGCAAGCAATTCATGTAATCTGTGTAAATCTGCATTGCGAAAGAGACGCGTATTCGGTAAATTTAGTATCTCATTCGTCAGAGGCAAAGGAAAACATTTAAAAGACATTATCCTTGTTCGTCTGTTTTCTTTCTTTTTCTTTCTTTTTCTTTTTTTCCTTTTTTTTTGGTTCGTTTTTCCCTTCTTTTTTTGTCACCTACGCGTGACATTGTAACCGTAAAGACACAATTCTGTTTGTACACATACGTAAGATGCAGACGTAATTATTTGTTAATATACTGTATTCTCTATTTACTACTTCTGAATTCGCGTATACAATTAAGTTCTCCAAGTTAATTTGCAATAATTGCATACGGCTTTTCCCTTTAAATAAATGTTTCATCATTTTCATTACGAGAAAAACCGCATATATACACAGAAAGATACTTCATGTAAACATGCAAAGTAGCCTGTTCCTTACGAGAAACTAAAAGGTAAAATAATTTTCAAAACCGACGTGTAAATGATTCTTTAAATTTCAATAAAATGAATGACGTGTAATAGTGTCTGCGAAAGAACTCGATGTAACAAATGCACAGAAACAATAATTTTACCTAAGAAATTGAAATTAAGGGTTCATTTATTTGCAAATACACAATGTTACAAGTTCAACGAAAAATGTGTTTGAATTCAACCATTTCAAATTCATTTTGATTTATTCTTACTTTATATTTTATTTTATCTATTTTAATATATACTTTAACGCATTGACTGTTGTGCTTAATTACATGGACAGATGTTCTATTTTTGTTAAATAGTAATCATTTACTGTACTGTATCCAAAAAATACAACTGCAATGAATACAATTTCGAATTAAACTCTTCGTTTCTCTTAATATAATCTTAGTTTAAGAATATAGGATACGTACATGTAGATATTTATGTTACAGCACATTTTTAAAATTCTGTTATTGCAAAGACACATTGAAATTTGTTCAGCTTTTATTAAAGGAGACAATGAGTTCCTGTGAAAGCAAAGATCATGGACTTTTGCCAATCCATCTTGTGATTTCTATAATTTCACCTATTTTGAGTATAAGATTTTGGTTTTAACGGATAACAACGTTTTGGATTTTGCTTAGGAGGAATTGCTTTATTATTCTTTGTTTCTATTCCACCTATAAGATCATAATGAATCAGAGTAAGTATGGTATTGTATCTATAAGTCTGGCGCTGTATCGTACGAGTCTGTTGCTATATAATTTATGATTGATATTGATATAATCACTAATAATTAGCAAACCCTGTCCCCTGTACGTATTAATGTAAACACAAGATATCTCGTTTCAATGCGTAGCGTATATGCAGCGTACGTAATAGTTCTACCAGATAACATTTAAAAATTTCAATCGTCACCGACAGATTTCAAGAAAGAGAGGGAGAGAGGAGAGAAGAGAGAGGAGAGTGGAGAGAGGAGAGAGAAGGAACAGCTTTCCTTATTATCGAGTATTAGATATCTCGTTGAACCTTTTTAATTATACGGGCAATATTGTACATTTATTGACTGATTCGCAGCGCCAAACTTAAAATGCAGATGTTGGTATTTAATTCTTTCAACATGTATTCCTCCGTTTCTTTTATAACCTAATAATTCTCTACAGCGAATGATCACCGTCTTTTTAGTCAAAATATACGTATGCCGCACGTAGTGTACACATAGGTACTATAAACTTACAAGAGGGTAAAATAACGGATTTTTTATCTTCAATGGCAGGTTTTGGAAAATTTATGTCATTTATTGATTCGAGAAGCTTTTTATATACGAGGTAAAATTACTTTTTATAACATGGTACCGATATTCTTATAGGTTATAATACAGTATTTAGTTAGCGTTTAATAATAATTGTAAACGTGTATAAATGTTTACTCATATTAATGAGTAAGTGGACGTTATTTTCATTAATAATTAAGTATTAATTCATTATTAATAGTTACAAAGACTTTTATTCTTTGTCCGTAATATAAGATGCTCTTTAGTGTAGTTTTTCTTACCGCAAACGAGACTTGTTGTTTATTCTTTCAGAAGCTGCACGTTGAAATTGAGTCAATATTTAGCAACAAATGCAACAACAGATTCAAATCAAGTGACACTTCCACTGAAGCCAAAGAAACCATTATCTAGTTTTCTCTTATACGTAAGGCATATTAGACCAGCGTTAATAAAAAGTAATCCTAATATAAAAGTTACCGAAGTAGTGAAAGAAGCTTCCAAAAAATGGGCTGAAATGGAACCAACGTATAAACTAAACTTCAGCAAACAGTATGATACAAACTATAAAATATACCTTGAAGAATTAAAACGGTATGTAGATTCAATAACTGAGGAACAAAAATCGCTAATGTTTGAACAGAAGAGTAAACGTAAGGACAGATCTGCTACATTAGAGATTAAACGGGTAATTGTACCAGTATATTTAAATCTTTATAGTGTAACATTTGTTGTATTCTTTGATCGCTTTAAAATAAGTGTATTTACAGAAAATAGAAATATATAAAAAGCCAAAAAAACCAAGAAATGCATTTCTAATATATATGGATAAAAATAAAAAGGAAAGAGGATCAGATGTAAATGTCAAGGTATAGTAAATTTTTGCGCAATGAATTATTCCAGAAATAATTAAAAAGAATCAATGTATAATCTAATTGCTTTGAGTGCAAAAGGTTAAAATAATTATATATGATGAAGTATAAACAGATACTTAAGATTAACAGTTACTTAAAAATCAAAGTAAATTCATTTTAATAAGACACAATGGGTTGGATTGTACAATTAATTGGAAGGTGAAAAATCTGAAAGCATAAAATAAAATTTCTAAAAAATTTGTTCTATTTATTATTCTTTTTTATTATATTATTTCTTACATTTTTTAATCACTTTCTACTAGGATTGGATAAGTGAACTGTCAAAAAAGTGGAAAAATATGTCATACGCAGAAAAAGAGCAGTATCGAGTAGAGGGAACAAAGTTGATGGAGCAATATAAAAAGGACCTAATCGCATGGGAAAAGGAAATGATAAGTTTAGGACATCCAGATATTGTAAGACATGCAAATCGTACAAAACATACATCTTCTAAAGGAGAGCAGAAAAGTTGAAACATAATAAAGAGGTGTAACTATCTTGACTTAAAATTATAAATTACAATCTAAATTTACATCTATTAAATTGTATTATTTGTAAAATTTGTAGTATTTCATTTGTGGATGCATTTTTAACATTGTAGAAATCAATAATATGCAAATGATAAGAAGTTTAAGTCAATGTACGATGTATATTCTTATTTTCTATAGAACTTTTACATAATTTGTTCCAATAAGCGCTTATTTAGAACAGTTAAAGTATTGGTTGTACATAAACAATGAAAAAGAACATAATGTATTGCAGTAAAGCTAAAAATGTATAAAGCCAAATCCTGAACCATTGTGTGCAGCACTGTCATAAATTTTTTAAATTGATAAGTCAATTGAGGTTTAATATTACATAAGATCAAAGCAGTATAGAAGAGATTATTGTCTTGTGTTCCTCGTCTATTTGTAACAATGTACAAACGAACCAACATTATTGGAAGATATGGTATAAAAAGTGTCTGAAATGTTCAATCAACCATCATATTTCAAAAGAATTATTTGTTATAATGTTATCAGAAATGTATAGGGATACTATGAAAAGAAATATTGTACTTGATATCATAAAAATCGATAATTACCTTCCCAAATAAGTAGTCCAGTTCTAACACGAGTAATATGTTCACAACAAAGGCTAACAATACATAATTTGTACGATTTATTAGCACTGGAGGTACTGAAATACTTGGTTGTGCAAGCCTATTATCGATATGCTCTGTTTTTGTTCTGGCATTGTCACATTCATCTCTTGGAGAGGTCGATGTATTGTTCCATGTGTTATTCGACTCAAAAAAGTTTGTACCCTTAATTCTGTTATCGGATTTCTCTGTAAACATATAAATAAGTGACAATTGCAAACATTAAAGACAAAAAAGTACATTTGATATTAAAATGCTTTACCTAACGTCAAACCATTTACATTCCGTTGTAACTTTTCTTCTTGCATCCCTCTACACAGAAATGAAGTTTGACTAGATGTATCTAAATACAAAATTAATAGTATGATATAATAATTAACGAATAATAGCATTCCAAACAAATGATTTTTAGTTTTTCATTTCTGTTACGCAAAACCTGATTAATAAGTAAATTTCTACAGACCATAGAATCCAAAGATCATGGAAATGTAGAGAAATATATAAGCATTGATATTTAAGGAGCAAAAGCAACAATTTGAAATCTAACCGAACTAAAATTTTGTTCTTTCTTAACTGGCTGGAATGTACAGTTGGAATGAAAATATTATTTACCTTCTATTTTGGTATCACCATTTAAACCGGTAATTTTTAATAAACGTTTTTCTGAATTTTCCAAAATTCGTCTTCTCCTCGCGTTTCGTTTAGCGTCGGTATCTTCCATGTTTTTCACTTGATTTCCGTCAATTTGTTTGCGATTGAAATTGCCACGTTTTCCTAGACAACAGTAAGAATATTTGTTGACTTTTGTCCTTGAAATTGTAGCATGCTAAAATATTCCGGAAATTATGAAATTACTTTTGAAATGAAGAACGATCTCTGTAGACAGACGTAAATACGACTACGGTTTGTCGGGTCACTTTACACTTGCAATCTTATATATGTCGTAAACTAAATATTATCGATCGTACTCATAATATTATTAACTTCTTCTATTTCTGTTGCTCTATTTTGCGGGTGTCCAGATACTTTAATTTAATGAACAAAACACGTGATCCAGAGGAATGTAGCGTACAACAATTTGACATGTTCGACGCTCACCGAATTGTTCAAATACGCAACGTAAATAATCGAAAACCACCGACCGAAGGCAATTCAATGTAATTCTTGTTAGCGCGAATAGATTGAAGTTCATAAACATTCAGATGTGCGATACGATTCGTATACGAAGCAAAGGATGCGATGAGAGGCATTTTAAGGTATGTATCGCAAATAAGGTTTCGCTTATTCTCATACGTCGCGTCGTATGACAATTGTATAGCGATTGTGCGATGAGAACGCAGCGTATATATTTAAGGCATTCTAGCAAGTACGCTTGCATTTTTGATGAAATCCGGCTGGGCTTCGCGGCTTTTTGGCGGGTTAAAGGTTTGGACAGTATTTTTCGTATTACCATAAAGATTTAACAGAACGCAAGGATGGGAGATAAAGACGGCGGTAAGAATAAAATACGTTGCTACGTATCCCTTTTACGTTTCCTAATTGTTCGTGTATTTAGAACTATCAGACGTTTGCTCAAAGGACGCTTTCCGTATTATGGTAAACAAGATTGCTCTTCGCAACGAGTTCACATGGATTTATTTCTGCTAGAACGTGATATTAATTCCTCGAAATCGTCTAATTTAGTAGCGATATTTCATTCGAATTGGGAATGAAGAAGAGAATCGTTTCGTTACCGTAAATACGACAGATTTGAAAGAAAAACTTTCGTCCGATGATCAGCAGGTTATATATCATGGCAAAGGGTATAATGTTTTTGTCGATCGAGTAGCAATCAATTTTTCAAAATCGTTTCTTTCATGGCAGATTGAAAAGGTGGCTCTATTAAATACTTTTGATAATCGTGTGAAAACGTCAATGGGTCTATTTCACCTGTTTAATGCTGGAACCTGTTCCGATATTGTCTTATACCCGGCGGCTGTTTTATTCTATATTCTTTGCTTGTTTCCAGAGACTTTCGACGATGCTGTAGAGGAAAGAGTTATTAACGAAGAATACAAAATATGGAAAAAAAATACACCCTTTTTGTACGATCTTGTAATGACACATGCCCTCGAGTGGCCATCCTTGACCGCCCAATGGCTACCCGATGTAACTAGACCAGAGGGGAAAGATTACTCCGTACACCGCCTTATATTGGGTACGCATACCTCCGACGAACAGAATCATTTGCTAATCGCTAGCGTTCAACTGCCAAACGAAGATGCTCAATTCGACGCGTCTCATTACGACAATGAGAAGGGGGAATTTGGCGGATTCGGGTCTGTTAGCGGGAAGATTGAAATCGAAATAAAGATAAACCACGAAGGGGAAGTGAACAGAGCACGGTACATGCCGCAAAATCCGTGTGTCATCGCAACTAAAACGCCATCCAGCGATGTTCTCGTGTTCGATTACACGAAACATCCTAGTAAACCAGACCCGAATGGCGAATGTCAACCTGATCTGAGGTAAGCGTGGAACGAAAGGAAAAGAAAGGGAGAAGGGTTTATCCGTCTTTGGTAAGATCTTTCTAAGAATTTGACTAACCGCCGTTTGTGAACAGATTGAGAGGACATCAGAAGGAAGGGTACGGTCTATCGTGGAATCCTAATTTGAACGGATATCTGCTAAGCGCATCCGACGACCATACGATTTGCCTGTGGGACATTAACGCACCGCCAAAAGAAAATCGAGTTATCGATGCGAAAACTATATTTACAGGACACACCGCTGTCGTCGAAGACGTGGCTTGGCATTTGTTACACGAATCTTTGTTCGGTTCAGTTGCGGACGATCAAAAGTTAATGATCTGGGACACAAGGTACTTGGAACAGCGGCTGGCACGCGTAGCGATTCCGAACCGCGGTAAAGGTTACGCGTTTTGAGAACGTATTTCTGTTGATAGGTGTAACAACACGAGTAAGCCAAGCCATACTGTCGACGCTCACACAGCCGAAGTGAATTGTTTAAGTTTCAATCCGTATTCAGAATTTATCCTTGCGACCGGCAGCGCCGATAAAACGGTGGCACTCTGGGACTTGAGAAATCTCAAGCTGAAACTACATTCCTTCGAATCTCACAAGGACGAGATCTTTCAAGTTCAATGGTCACCGCACAACGAGACTATATTAGCTAGTAGCGGTACAGACAGACGTCTACACGTATGGGATCTGAGTAAAATTGGCGAAGAGCAATCTAGCGAGGATGCAGAGGACGGTCCACCCGAGTTATTGGTACGTTCGATTCTACTCCGATAGAATCGAAAAGCTTTAATAAACAACTAATCTATCGCTCTCGTTTGCCCACAATTTGGAATTGTTACAGTTTATACATGGTGGTCACACCGCGAAGATCAGCGACTTCTCATGGAATCCAAACGAACCATGGGTGATATGTTCAGTGTCGGAAGACAATATAATGCAAGTATGGCAAATGGCGGAAAACATTTACAACGACGAAGAACCAGATACGCCAGCGAGCGAACTTGAAGCGGGTGCTTCATAAATCGTGAAAAAGAATCAATTAAATTATTTGATAATGAAATTTTCTATGAATATAGATTTCAGCCCGCGTGAAATCATTCGAGCTAGCATAAGAAAGACGTTAAGACGAATTTGTACGTTAAAACGAAAAGAACATCAAGAAGCAATAATGTCTATTTTTACTACCGATCTTGAGGCCCGTTTACGCATACACGATTCTAGGATAAATCAAACAAGCGGCGAGCATTTCCGTCGAATCGTCTTTTTATTTTTTTCATTTCGGGTATAGGCGAAATTTTCCTTTTCGGGTGTATTTACCCTGGTAATATACAATGGTAATCAGGGTACAGATTTTAAGTAAAAATCTGGACTACTGCCCCTCCACGGCCCAACATCTAAAATGTGTATAGTATATAGACGCGTGCCAGATTGAACGTACACCAGTGTCGCACCTCGACCGATCTTCCACGCATGGAGCGACACCCTCGTTCGTATTTTAGAATCGACGATATATGCGGATTTAACCGTAACGAACACACACACACACACACACACACACAGCACGCGATTGATACAGCGAGAAGTTGTTTTCGTTGGTACCGTTCCGTGACGACGGTTCGAAATCGTGTCTTGTAACCGGAGGACATGTTCCGACCGGCGGAGTCTCTCGTGCTGTTGGGAGAGGGGGCAGGTGACGGACAGACGGAGTACGAGCAGGAGGAGGAGGAGGAGGGAGATGTTCGAGACTCTCTTTTGTTGTCTTTAGCGAACGATTCGCGTTGCCCTTGTATATCGTTAATATCGTTAATATCGTTAATATCGTTAATATCGTCTCTGCTGCTTCGGAATCTGGTAAAAAAGCATAGTAGAAACATGCGAGAAAAACTCGACGAACAAAAAGAAAGAGAAACTGTCGAGTCTTGGATGTGTCTGTAAAGTACTATTTCACAATAATTCTCTACATTTTTCATAGATACGGGTGTCTTGGGTGTGTTTTAATATTTCAAATAATAAAATGGACCGTACGCATGCGACTTATCTTTATTTTTCCTGCTCTATGCGTTTCGTCGTTCCGTTATGTTCCCTTTGCTAAATCTATCTCGCCCCGTGAAATCGTAAAGAATTCGAATGTGAAACTCTCGAATGTGTTTGGCACTTGGTACAGAAAGATAGGAATATATATTATACATATGTATATAAGATACTCGAGAAACAGCGACTACGCGTTTTCCGATCGAATCGTCGCGTCTCGAAAAAAAACATTGTTCCCATGGAATTATACAGCCGTGTTCGAAAGCTCGTTGTAGATTTCGTCGAGCAGCGAATGTTCGCAAACCGTGTCCGGTCTGTGCAGAGACAAAGCATCGACATCGACCATGTCCAAGCCCGAGACTCTGGAAAACGGAAAAAAAAGCGCAGACATGAATCGCGACGGTGAAGACGCCGTCGAAGAGGAGGCTTATGGCGATCAGTACGGATATCCTGGGTTAGTCATTACCAAAATCTGCGCGTTAAATACACGTCGCTTATAGACCGCGATCTCTGTCTGTTGTGCATGCAAAATGAACGTTTATCAAGATATTACAGAAAAACAGGCAAACACGAATCGAGTCGATCGCTCGAGAACGCACACCATTCGTTACCTCTTATTCAGGTTTTGTCGTTTAATCCCATCGAGCAAGTTTGCGACCGACGGTGTCAGTGACGGACGAAATATCTGCGAGAGAAGAAGGATAATACGGATTCGGTTAGGCTTGCGCGTCAATTGTTCGATTGGTATCGTAAGCAGATCGAGAGTACAAGTACGCCGGCAAGAATGCGGTTCCGGAAGAACGATCCTTACCGTCACTGGTGCGCACCGCATTTCGCGAAGATCGATGTTTCTGAACAAGTCGTGAACTAGAAGCTCTTCGATGTTTCTTCGCCGACTAGTTGGCTCGCCGAATATGTACTTCAGTAGCTCGATCACCTGCGCGCGCGCAAACATTTTAATCAGTTTCCTCGCTCGTGATTACAGTCCGTAGCTTCTCTCGGGCCCGTCGAGACGATCGAGCAACGATCGATTCCTCTTTCTTCGACCGAACATTGTCCGTTCTTGCAACGACCGCTACTCGCGAGTATCGCTACCGTTATCAACGGGCCCGCGAAAACACGGACCGAACGACGAAACGTTCTTCAGCTGGGAGAAAATAAAGAGAACGAAGAGAAGCGAGCTATCGAGAATAGAGAAACGGATCAAAAGAATTAACCGAAGAAAGAAATTAAATTAACCAAGTAAGAGAGGAAAGGGAAGAGACAGAGAGAGAGAGAGAGATATAGATAGATAGATAGATAGATAGATAGAGAAAGAGTGAGAGAGAGAGAGAGAGAGAGAGAGAGAGAGAGAGAGAGAGAGAGA